CGCCGCAGAAAAGGGCATTTGCTGTTCTGAAAAGAACTGGGACAAGACACATTGGAGTATGACCAGAATTTGGGAATGCCTGTGCAGGGTCCTGTCACCAGCTATGTCACCTTGTAAAGCATGTCCAGCACCCTGAGGATGTGATTTGGTGCAGATTTGAGACTTGCTGCAGCCTGATCTTACAGCAAAATGAGCAACACTTGACACAAAACTATAAGAAACACCAAAATTAGGAAGTACTTTAATCAATGGCAACTTTAATCAATGGCCAGTGAATTTAGGACAGGTTTTTGATGCGCCAGCAAGGTCGGGAAGCAGTGGTGGGCAGAAGTGCTACCTTGGAGATGCAGCAAAGCCCTGAGTGCAGGAGTGGGACAGGAGGTAATTTTAGGAAGCAAATAAAATAGAAATAGCAGAGCAGATCCAAAGGGATTCTCATTGATAGGCAAGTGACAGCATTAACCAGCTGGCAGCTCCCCTGGTGTCCCAGCTTGTGAGCCAGCCTCAGAGGAGAACTGACAGGTAGATCAGCATGAAGAAACATCAAGAAGGGAAGGAAAGGCCCCGCTCTCCAAACCTCCCCATCCCATTCATCTCCCCAACACCCAAGCAGGAGAATGGAGCCCAAACCCAAAGCTCTTCCCTGCTCTGTGTCCCTCTTGCTCAGACTGCCACTGGCAGGGCAGGCCTGGGAGGGCACAGAGCCCCAGTTCAGTTGGAGGTCAGGGATGAAGCTGTGCCTCAGAGGGGACAAACCCACGGGCCAGCAGCAGGATCTGGGACAGCTGGGCCCCTCTGGCAGCTCAGAGCAGGGCTGGGAGCTTTGCCCACGGACAGCGGGAGAGAGGGGAGCAAGGGGAGAGGGCAAAGGGTGTCCAGTGATATAATTGACTGCTAGACTAATTAAAATTCCTGGGCTGCTAATTGGGGCTGGGATCTGCCTGCTGAACGCTCCCCTCAGCAGCTCAGCCCAGAGAGAGGGGAAGAGGGGGATAAAGGTCTGGAAGCAGCCGGGCCCCCGCTCGGGGCTGGCAGAGCCCAGAGCTGTTTGGTCTGACCGATAATAAGTCGCCAAATTACTTTTGACAAGTGAAGGGGATTGGAAATAATGGGGGTCTGCGAAAAGCCCAGGGCACGGGGGGGGGGATCCATGAGATAATGAGGAGGCAAAGCCCTGGCATGGCTTGGGGCTTCCCCCCCTCCCGGACTGGGGTGGGAGGGGACAGGGAGGAGGCTGTGAGGGACATCTGTGCCACACTAGAGTCAATATTTGGCCTGGAAAGGCTCTGCCTGAGGCACAGGGACTGCCTGGAGGGGGTCAGCCTGGAGCACTTGGCACCCCTGCTCTGCCTCAGCTGTAGTTTTTAGGAGTGGGCTTCAAAAACCTCACGCCACAGCACCAAAATCCCTGTCCCTTTTGCAACCCCCACCATGGGTCAGGTATTCTCCATGCATTGCCCAGGTGTGCCAGTCCCCAGCTGCTCACCTGATCCAAAAAACTGCACATCCCTACAGGATCCAGGTGCTCTGGCTGCACCAGACATGGGAAATCAGCAACCAGACTGCAATAATTAAAGTGTTCATTTACATACCAATACCCCAGATATTCTCCACCTCACATCCCTTTCAGAATGATGCAGTATCCAAATCTGGAGCGCCTCTGAGTGCACACAGCCAATTTCTTTCTACTCAGAAAAAGAAAATAGCCTATTTTTTTTCATGTCAACGTGCTCTGTGTAATATCCAGTGGGTAATTTTAGTGTCTAATGCAGCATCCACAGAACCCTCACCTCCTGGGAAATCAGTTGGGTGCTCTTTTCCCCTTGATTTGGAGAATAAAAGTCCCTCTTATACTCAGGAGGCATCCAGGAGATATAACTTGATTTTGGAAACATGAATTTTTGGGATACATTTGATACATTGGGATACATTTGATCAACACTGGAAGGAGGAGCTGGGATTTCTTCACTTTGGAGAGGATCACCAAGCAGACAAAAATGCTGTGGAAAGGGAAAAGACACTGGAGCTGGTGTCAAGTTTCTCACTTTTTCATAGGATTTCACATCTGTTTCATAATCATGGCCTTTTTTTTGTTTCTTCCAGACAAAAATGCCCAGCTTGCATGAGCTTGGTCTTCTTCATGCCCAGATCCTGGTGGGTCTTCTCCCCACTGAGTCCAGCCTTCATTTTCCCTGGGGAAGGGTTTTCCCTGCAGTGGAGCTCCCCAGGAGGACAGCTGCATGTTCCAGTGGTGCTGTACCCCACAATGGTTCAGGGAACCTGATTCCTCCCTCTCCTCCTCCCCAGAGATTCTGCACTGGCAGGGACCAGAACACAGGGGCAAACATGCCCATTTTTCATAATTTTGGGCATTTTTTTTGAACAGTGGAAAGAGGAAAACATTACTTTAACCCCCGAGTGGCTGCAGGCCAGGGAGCTGCTGGATGCCACAGACATTTCCCAATGCTGCTCACAGCCTTTTTTCCAGCTTCATCCAGTTGGTTTCAAAGCAGCTCTCATGTTTCAGCAGCACTGTGGGGACCTCAGGAGGTGCTGACATACCAGTTTTTTTTTCCACATCAAGTAATACAAAAGGATAAAACTCATGTTTTAGTGGAGTTTTTCCCCCCCTATTCTTCTCCAAACTTGGATTATGGAAGCTCCAGCTGAGCTCTCAAACAGGCACTGTGCAAGTCACATTCTCAGCTTCAAAGTGAGGAAGCAATTCATGGCAGTTCATTTGCTGCCTGAGTATTTTTTAAGCCAGAGATTCCAAAGGAAAAGAGAACCTGATTCCCCCTGCTTCCAGCCCTCCTCTGCCCTGAAGGCCACCCTATTCACAGTGCAAAGCCATAACCCCACAGCTGCTATTTGCCTGTGTTTCCCTGACAAAACACCACCAACTGAAGTTGGGTGAAACTCTCCTGGACTCAGGGGGTCTGATTCTCAGGTCAGCCTCTGACTTTCCCTTTTTGGGAGCAAAATAACAAAAATTGTTTGGAAATGAAGCTTCCTGTAATTGCAGTGACAATCCTCCTTTCCTAGAAAGCCCTAAAAAATCATCCTGTGTGTCTTGAAGTCTTCATCCCCCCTTTTTTTGTACAGCAAATCTTCAAAGCCCTGATGGGTAAGCGGGGCTGAACATTCCCAGGTCCTGCAAAGGAAGAGAGGGGGCACAGAGGGGAAGAGGATGGGGCTGTGGGATTGTCTGCATTTTTCCTTAACAGTTTGGGGTCAAGCCTGATCCCCGATGGGGTCAGCTCTCTTACAGGCTAACACACCAAAGTCAAAGGAGACTCTGCTTCCCCATGGGAGCCTGGCCAGGGAGAGGCTCTGCAGCCCCTTCAGGAGCACCAGGGTGGGAGGGGGATGCAGAAAAGCGTGGGGAGGCTGCAGGGGCCGTGCCAGACAGAAATTCTACAGGGCAAATGCACAGGGCCTGCTCCTGACCCATCCACGGGCACCTCTCAGCACCAACTTCCCTTCCCACAGAGCACAAGGCTACACCCAGCACCATGTGGGACAGGGGCTGGGAGCAGGCTGGCATAGGAGGGATGTCAAGGTTCACAATAATCACCCAAAAATCCCCTTTTCATCATCTACAGGATGCTCCTCACCAGCAAAACAACCCCAGAAAATTGGAGTCATGGTGAGTCTACAGCACTTTGCAGAGTGTCGACACCTCTGATAAGAAAGAAGGGAAGGAAATGAGGAAATCTGTGCAGCTGGACAATACCTAAACATGCCACAGACCAGAGACAGAGATCTGGGCAAAAAAGCAACTGAAAGGGAGATGGAGAGAAAGGGAAGTTGCCCGTGCTGCCTGGCTCACATGGAGGGAGCAGGATGCTCGTGCAGCCAAAGAAGAGATAAAATAGGAAGATGTCAAAGTTATTTTTTTCAGAATGCAAGCTCCATTACACAAGGCGAAAGGTGCACATTAAGTGCAATAAAAAAAGAAGCTTTTATAGAGATTAATTTGTCTGCCCCGTTCTCCTTAAACCGGAGGTTATAAATTGTGACAGATCATGTATGTTTTTGGGAAGCGAAGGCAGGAAAAACGAAAGGGAATTGGGGAATAGATCAAAATTCTCCAAGCAGAAGGCTTGGGAGGCACACATTTATATCAGCCTTTTTCTTCTCCTCTCAGAGCTGGTGCCATTCTGATCCACAGGAGAAGGAAACTCCTCACCCCTGTATTCCTACAGCTCCTTGAATCCATGGACTGCTCACAGACCCACAAAGGGGATGAGCTCAAAGCCAGTTGTTTGTGGACTTGAGATGATGAGAGCTGAGAAGGCAGCTGCTGGAATGTGTTGTTATCTGCTCCCATGCATCCATCTCACCACAAACATTCCAGTGCCCCAATTCCACAGGCAAAGCTGCTCTGGAACAGCAAAGCTCCGAGCAGCAAGTTGGAACAAAGGATAATCGTTTTTATCTCTCCTCTTTCAAGTTTCTGCAACAAAAGCCTGTTCCTGTCTGGCCCAGGAACAGATCTGCCTGCCACAGCCCATCTTCAAATACTCCTGATTGACCTCAGCGTGTGAAATAGGCATCATTAAAGTGTTCTAAGAATAATTCCCAGAAATCATGAGTCACTGTCTGATTTCGGCAGAAAGGGCTAAAATGATTCAATTATTCACCATGAATTATTCACTGATAATTACGCTGTAGTTAGCGATCTCCACGCAGACAGTTCATTACGAGCAAACCGCTGGTGTGCAGCTAATATTTCACAGAAAAGACCCACTTTTGTTATTGCACGTCATATATAACAAAGTGGAAATATTGGTGGCCATCAGAGGAAATCAGAGAGAGATTAAATGTGGAAGGAAAATGCTGCTATTTCTAATTCTCCAGCAGCTCTGCCAAGTGCAGCACTAGGCCGAGCATCCCTTTCTCTGGTTTCAGAGCCAGCCAGGATTGCATTCCTTGGAGAAACACGCAGTGAGGAGAGGAGAAACTGAGAGACTGAGCTGGCAGCCATGGAGAAAACTCACCTTTTTCTCTTATTTTGTTGATGACTGCTGGAAATCTCTCTAAATCCAGGCTCTCCAGGACTGCAGACAGTTCAGTTTTGCTTGTCCGCCTGCTGCTCACACAGAGCTATTTTGGCAACTGAGCTGCCACTTACCTGCCATTGCACTGGCAGGGCTGGCACAAAAGCAGGCAGAGAGGAGAAAGCCACCCTGAGAGCTTCTCACCTGCCAGGGAACTGGGGGAAGAGCTCATTTCTCTCACACTTCCAAGCAGGGATTCTGGTTTTTGTCACAAGGAGCCAATTCAGCCTAGCTGAGCCAACACCATCAACCTGCAGAATAACCAAAATAGCCCTGAAAGTCTGTGGGGGCTCCACCCCAGGACATTTGTGCTCCCATCTCAACTAGTTGCTTCCCTTTCCTTTTCCCTCACCAGCCTGGCCTCAGTGGTGCTGGGATGCAGAAATAGCCAGGGTATCTCCTCTCCAGCCCAGTCCCACAGAGCACACCGGGACAGGGTCTGCAGGAACAGCTCCAGAACCCACAGCAGCTTCTGGAGGCTCTCCCAGATATCCACCCACACCTCAGAGGTTTCAGGCTCCTCTGGGAGGCTCTCAGCACCCAGATAAAACCGGGTACCCAATGCTGTGAATGTGAACTCCTCATTTTATGGGTCACACAACACAGCACAAGCGCGTGCCACAGCCAGGAGGACCAGGACATCGAGCTCCTAGCTCAGAAATATCCCGTTCTTTCCAGCTGTGCTGTCTCCTTTCCCAAACACAGTTAAGAAATCGCCAACTTTGCTTGCAAGACATCAGACAACTACACAGGTTGCCCAGTTTCCCCAGTCCTTGCCACGTTTGGGAGGGTTAAGGTGCATATTCCTGGTGGCAGCCCTATGGAAATAACAGCTTTCAGGAACCCCCCAGCTTGGGAAAAAGAGAGCAGAAAGGTCTGTGTGAAGTGTTCCTTGAGACATTTTGACCTGGGATGAACAGGGAGACCCTGGAGCTGGGGTGGATCATTCCTGTGTTTCTGTGGGATTTTAGCACACAGGGCAGGGGGCTCCAAAATCCTATCCTTTTAAGCTGTTCTGTGCAAGAACCACTTCTATACCTTTATCATCCTTCTTGCCTCTCACCAAACCTTTCCCCACCCTTCCCTCTCCTGCCAGAATCAGTGGCAGACCACTCATGACACGGGTGTACCCTCTGTCACGGCAGGATACAGTTTACTGGTTTGTTCCTTGTTTTCCTAATAATTCCTATCATTTTAGTCACTGCCTCTGACTGGCACTGAGAGCAGAGTTGATATTTTCATCCAGCCATCCATTATAACCAGCAGATCTCATTGGTGAATGGTAACAGCCACAGCAGAGCCCATTACAGCTCGTAAAAAATTAGAATTGTTTTCTCCCAGGTGAAAGCAGCACAGAAAAACAGAAAAACCTGCTCAAAAATCACACAGCTGCTGTCCCCATCCCTATCCTGAAATCCTTAATTCTGCCCTTTTGAAGGGTCCAATCGTTTCCATAGTTTTTTCACTTAGTTTGGCTTTTTTTTCTGGCTGAAACTCCTGACATTTCTGGCTCTTTACCTTGGGGAAGTTAAGGCAAAGGGCTTTCAAGGATGGGGAGTCGTGGATAGTGTTACCTCAGAGCTGTGTTTTAAGGCGTTTCTTGAGCTTTTACGCTCATCCTCACCCTTTTTCCACACCAGCATTGATTACAGCGGGTAATTGTTTTCTAATTGGCCCGCAGCTGCTTATCTATCTTAGATAATTAAAGTGAAGAAGTAGAAACAGAAATAAGGAAAGAAAACGGAACTTTGCTCTTAAGTAGCTGCCTATTGACTGTCTCGATCGATGGGGAGGTCACTTTGGGCACACACGCCAGCGGGACACGTCCTTGACTGACAGACCCAGGAAGGCAATTCCCAGCCTCTCACTCTTGCTTCTGCCAAGCCCCACCTTTATTCCTTCCCACAACACCATCTTGGACTCCTCCAGCCCCACACCACCAGCTTGGAGGACACCACCCAGCCATGGGCCTCCACTCCAGAGGTGACACAATGAGTGCCACAGGCTGATTTATCTGGGCTGGCACAAACTCGGGATCTCCAAGTCTCTCCTCTCTTGTCAAGGCACCACAAGTCAAATCCCAGTGAAATGTGGCTCCCACCAACTCTGAGAACCCGGCAAAACAGCACATGTAACTCATTGCCAGAGCTGAGGAGAGAAGCTAACAAGGGATTCCTTCCCACACCACCGTCTTGGACTCCTCCAGCCCCTCACCACCACCTTGGAGGACACCACCCAGCCATGGGCCTGCACTCCACAGGTGATACAATGAGTGCCCAGGCTGATTTATCTGGGCTGGCACAAACTCAGAATCTCCAAGATCTCTCCTCTCTTGTCAGGTTGGATTAAAACCAGACAACGAAAATATTGACTGCTCAACCACGGGCCGAGAAAATCATTGGGAAGGGTGGAGCCAGAGCACAGCACGATGCACAGCTCTCAGCATCACAAACCTGCTGGGTGCCACCTCCAAAGCCACCCAGCTGTGTTCCACAGCCAGGGCAGCACAGCATTCTAGCTTCTCACTAGCGCTGACACCAGTCGGAACTCTCTCTCCATGCTGGAAAGCCCAAGGAAATCTTCCAAGAAGTGCAAGAGCTCGGAGGCTGGCTCTGCTTTGTAGGAGTTAAAATGAAGTTCCCTGCTAGCTCAGCAAGGAGGGGTCACACAGAGGCTTTGGAAGGCCTGGGCAGAGATGCAGCAGGGTTAGGCCTGTCCAGCCAGCACCTGCCTCCACACCTCAGGTGACAAAAGCACAACACAAATCCCAGAGAAACGTGGCTCCCACCAGCCCTGGGAACCTGGCAAAACAGCCAGGATAATTTGGCACAATTAAGGTAAATTTTAATCCAAATTGAGAGTAAAATATCAGACACAGAGTACTAGTAGAAAATGTCAGGTACAATCTGATTTCATTGTTGCAGCAAGATGAAGTATAAGATATTTGAGAGGTGGGGAAAAGAACTTGACTGGTGGTATTGAATTCCTGGGCAATGGAAGCTTGATTTTGAAATCTTCAATCAGGAAAAAAATCAGTGACCTCATTTTTCCAAGATTATGTCTGACTTTAAAGGAGAGATGCCAAACTTTGGTAGACATATTCTGGGGAAATTTAATTTAGGAAATGCTTTAATTATTACATTTGTCTGAGGAGTTCATTACCAGAGCTGAGGAGAGAAGCTAACAGGGGGCGGGAGATTAATCTGCTGCCTCAACTTGAATTTTTGGGCAAGGTGTAAAGTTAAAGGCTTGTTCTTTGAAGGACAGAAATGCTGATTACCTTCCAACACCCACCTCTCACAGCTTCCAGTTCCTGTGTACATCACCCAGAGACCTCAGTGCAGCCACACTGAGGTGACACACACACACAGAGGCCAGTTGAGAGGTGACTTCCAAAGATTTCCTAGTAAACTAAGGAGGTTCTGTTCAACCAGCCACCCAGACAGCCCACATTACATTCTCTTAGCACAAAAATTCAGAGCAAATTTCAGCAAAAGTGCTTTTTAACTAAACTATACGGTGTTATTTGCTCTCCCCCCTACCTCCCCTGCAAATCATACTGGAAATGCTCCAAGCAGGAACCTTCTTTGTGTCTGTGCATGTAAAACTTCCAAGTACATGCTAATTCAGTTTAATTATGGATTTACTTCACTAGCTGCATTGCTAATGCCAGAAACAGCCAATATTTGCAGCCAAGGAAATGAGGGAAAAGGAAAACAAGGTTTTCCACGCTCATGTCCCTCTCAAGCCCCATCCCTGTGTCCCCATGCTCTCAGAACTTGGTGTGCAGGAATACTGCAAAGATAACCTGCTCTTTATTTGTACAATTTATTAGATAATCTCTTTCTAATCGAGAACTAATTAAAGGAAGTGAATGCTTGGTTGGAAACGGGGATTAAAACGTGGATAATTATCATAAACGCTACATTTGTTGTTCCAGCCTGCTCTGTTCTCCTCCTCCCCTGTCCCTTTCCCCCCAGTCCCTCTCCAGGCTGCTCCTGATAATGCTCAGACTGTCTCAGAGGAGGTTTGCTTTCACAATCAATTATTTTCTTTTTTGTCACCCTGGCTAATGTTTCGTTTGTGTGAGAACATTAACAAGAAGTATTTTCTTTTCCTTGTAAATTCATTTAGACGACAGTGACAGAAGGTGGGGAGGTGGCAGCTGTAGGAAAAAAAAAGAGGAAACAGGAACATTAAACCCAAGCTTATAAATTATTTCATCTTCTCCAGACAATCCAGATCTGTCACTGCTCTGTGTGCAAGGGGAAAGGGGGAATTTTTTTTTTTTTTTTTTTTTTTTTTTTTTTGTCCAAGAGTTCCTCACAGGCACGAGACATTGATGTATGGGGGAGGCTGATGAGAGAGTCTCAGCACAGCTTTTTCTGCCTGCTCACCTGCCAGAGCTGCTCCACTAGCAAGGCCAGTGAGGTCTCATCAGACAGTACCAGGTCACAGCCAGCAAGGAAAGATTTAACTAAATCTTTCCTTTTTGGCTAATGCACATTTTTAAGCCTGTGTCTGCACAGGCAGAGCCTATTGCTTTGCTGTAGTGTCCATGCAGGAGCACTTCTTGCTCGGGCAAAGATTCTGAGGAGCAGGAGGTGGCTCAGGTCAAGACCACAGCACCTTCAAGTGAGGATTTTTAGCCACTTGCATTGGCTGATGTGAGGCTGCATGTCCACAGTGATGTCCTGCAAGCTCAGGGCTGATGACCCAGAGGATGCCACAGGATGCAGAGCAGCTCCTCTTTCCCTGGATCAGATGTTAACCATGAGAATATAAATAATTCCTCCTTTAAAAGTGCCCTAACAGGGATAAAAGGTGAAAATGAGAGCAGGTCCCTCAATAGCTGGACACCAGAACAAGACAGGCATGTTGGAACCACAGCCAAGATCAAAATATGTCTGACAATTTTTTGTGCCTGGATTGTTTATTGCTTAATTCTCAACAAAAGTGCTAAAAGCACAGAAGTGACAGGCAGATTTTACTTTTCTTTGCTTCTAAGGAGGAGAAAAGCTCTTCCTGCCTAACCTGTTCCTGGCATGGCATAGTCCAACCTGATGGCACATCACCCTCAGTCAGTCCCAGGAATTTTAATGGAAGGGGTGCCTAAGGGATGAGACACGCCCCAGCTGGCATTTAGTCAGCTTAAGTGATTTTGCTTTGGGCAATTTTATTGCTTTTCCACCCATCCTGGGAATAAGTGGCTCTGCAAGGGGCTGGGTGTGCACCACAAAGGGCACGGAGGGGTTTCCTGTTCAAGGCCAGCATCTCTCACACCACTGCTGCCACCAGGCATTGTCCCCACTAAATGGGGACAGCAAACCAGCTCCTTAAAAAAGGGCACGGGTTTTGATGCCCATCCACTTCACAGCTTTGGAAAAAGACCTCTGACTTAAAGCCAGGCTCAGCTTTGGCACAATTCAAGCTAGACCCAGCAGAGATTTTCCCCCATGGATCAGGGACTCCCAGTTTCTACCCAGCCCAGAGAGAATTTTTGTGTACAAACGCACAGGGCGTTAGCAAGTTGTTAGCTCTGCAAAATTGGAATTACTCCATTTCAAAGAGATCTGTAATGCATAAGTGTCTGGGCTCATCTATCTTTCTCATCATCCCTCCTGCCTTGAAGTAAGGTCTTGCTCTCTAAGAATCTAGACAAGAAAAACACTCCAACAAAATGAAAAGCAACCTGGCTGGTGATGTATATAAAAGATGACATCTCCAGAAATCCCAAACTTCAAAGGGGCAGCTTTCAGCTCATGACTATCCACTCCCTCCAGCCCTCAAGGCTAGTGTCATAATTCTACAGCCACGGGAATCATTTGATCTCTCCAAATGGCAGCCCAGTGGTCTGGCACGCTTCTGGATGGCAAAAAATCTGCACTGCCACCAGCAGTGTTCTGCAGGGGTTGGTCTCTGAAAGGACAGATTGAGGTGAAACAATTGAAAGAGTCAGTGGCAGGAGGAGGAAGGAGGCAAAAAGGGTACTTTGAAGGACAGCCACAGGCTGAGGGACTTTGTGGCCTGGTTTGTGCAGGGTTGACGGCACAGGGGAACCTCAGAGGTTCCTGGGTGTGCTGGCCATTCCAGTGGGGTGAATCCACATTCCAAGGACTTTCCCCAGCTCACACCATCCTGTGATTTACAGGATGAGGGAAAGCACACAGGGTTGGTCACAGGAACACAGGTCTTGTATCCCAGCAGCACAGGGAAACCTCCATCCTCCTCCTCCTCCTCTGGAACACACTGCAGGTCTCAGCTCTCCTTCACGACCTCCAGGCAGTGGGTGAAGGCCAGGGGACACATGAAGCTGCTGAGATAAGTAATTGGCTGCCTGCTGGCAAGAACTCTTAATTAGAGGCTTTTCAGCAAGGAAATGTTTATATGGAGCTAATGTATTTACTTTGATGCACACACACTGTAATAAACAGGCGCCCTTCCTATGCTCCAGCAATTAAAGAAGTGTATTGCAAACAAACCCAGCCACCAGCTCCCACAGATGGGCTCCCACTGTCCCTTTCCCCATGGCCAGAGCATCCCTGAGATGTGAGACAGTCCCAGCTCTCCCAGGGCAACGCTGTGGGTGACCATGCTGCTGGAGGAGGGACCCTTAATCCAAGTGGGTGAGAAACTTTTCCCCCATCCAGCCTGGAAAAACAATAAATTGAGCCTAATTTTCATCTTGCAGACTGGGGAAAACAGCTCCTTCTAAGCAGGGCACAGGATTGTGCACTGGCTGCAGTTCCTGAACAGATTGGAGATGCTGCGCTGCTGCAGTTTAATACAGTCAGTGTTTATTCCTGTGTGGGAGAAACACTCCATTATCTGGCTTATTAATTGTTAGTTAAGTGATGGGAAGGTGCCCAGAGCGGGAGATGAGCCCTCATCTCTTGTTATTAGCTCAGAAACCAGCAGAAATAAAATAACTGGAGATAAATTATCCCGAGTGCTGCCCCAAGTACCGCAAACTGACAGATCTGCTCAGAGGGGAATTCGCAGAGAGATCTCTGGGGGGAGCAGGGAAGAGAGAGCAACAGCCAGTCCCACTGAAGATTTCTTTCCTTAATGAAAAGATTACACCATCTTTGATTCTGAACACCGCTTTTCATGGCTGGGATCACATGGATGTTCATGGTTGAGAAGGTACCCCTGCTCCTGTAGGAAAACTCAATTTTTAGTCCAGCACTGACAGCGAGACAGGTTTTGCATTGGTAGCTTAATGCTGCACAAGAGGGGTCCTTTTTTATTAAAAAAAGCAACATGCAGCTGCAAACAGTCTGGCCTGGTCACTGCGGGGCTGTGATAACCTCAGCAAACACAGGCAACCCCATTATCTGCCGTGGAGTCTGCAGCAGGGATGGGAGGCTCCACAAAATGAGTTTAACAAGGACAAGCAGCCAAGAAACAGCAATGAAAAGATGCAAGACTCTGCCTTGAACCCCAGACAGGTGAAAACACCCAACTGTGTCCAACATTGTAATAGTTCCCACATCTAAACAAGTAAAACCCAGCAGCGTCCACATTCATTTCCCCCAAATCCATCCCCCAGTGCTGGCCACAGAGCCATAATTTGCTGGCCCCTGTGCAGGGGATGGACAGAAGTTACCATTCATTTATCAGACCCACAATTCCACAGGAAAGCAGAATACCACGATCCACAGCATAAAGAAATTTAGCTAAACTAATGCATTTTGTGACATAGTTCAGGAGAAGCAGAGTTAAAAGAAAAAGCAGAGAGAGAGCTGCTCCTCCTTGCAGCCATTTGCCTGGAAAACATGCCAGCAGCCTTTCTACAGCACATGTAGTATTTTTACTGCAGTTCTGGAGGAAGATACAGGGGGGAAGGATAGGCCAGGAACCTGAGCCAGCATCAGCAGCACATTAACAAACCTAGGAAAGCAGTGACAGCCAAAGCTTGGGTCTAACCTTGCACTTGGAGCTGAAATTGAACCAAGGCCATCACCTGATTTGGGAGAGCACAGAAGCACCTGAGGCAGCTGTCCACACTCTGCTCCCCAAGGAGGCAGCCCCTAGCACCAAAACAGACTTATGGATACTCCAGACTGAGGGTCCAGCCCTAGTATTTTTTACAGCAGCTAAAAAATTAATCACATAAACACAGAAGGGTTTGGGTTGTAAGGGAACTTAAAGCCCATCTCATTCACCCCCCTGCCATGGGCAAGGACACCTTCCACTAGACCAGGCTGCTCCAAGCCCTGCCCAACCTGGCAATTCAAGCTTTTTTCATGACTTCACAGGCTCCTCAAACACCAGTGAACTGTTCTCATTCCAGTCTCCATCAGTGGAGTTCTCCCCCCAGCCAACACTCAGCAGCCCAAAGTCACCCCCACAGCCCAGAAAAAGCCCTGCTCACCCACAAAGTGCTTTCTTTAAAGAAGTTTTGTGCTACTTTGGAGCCTTATCTCTTTAGACAAACATCTCTTCATCCGTGTTTCATTTAATCCCTTCTAGAAATACAGCAATAAGCACCATTTCATCTACATCCTGCAACAGAACACCCCAGATCCAAGCTCATTCCCAAAAGTATTTGTTTGTGAGAGGAAAGACTGCCAGCTCCTAGCCCTAAAGAGCTCCAAAAACGTTGCATCTGGCTCAGCCTCCTCACTTGCTTGTGTATACCTTGAATCAAAACAGAATTCCTTAAGAGCATCAGCCCCTCTGAGAAACTCCAGTTACAGACTCCAAACTCCACAGACTCCAAACATTTCCTACCTGCCATCCCAAGTTTTCAAGCTTCCTCCAACTTCAGCTTCCAGAATAAAGCAGGAAAAAACTTCAGGAAGAAAGGAAAAAAATAAAAAACTCAGGAGTGCCTCACTCCTGCTTTTCTAAGCTCTTGCAGCCACAAAGCTGCTCACAGGTGGGCTAAGCAAGGCAGCCCAATTAAGCCTGCCTAACGAGAGCCTTTCATTTGAGTGGATCCAGGTGTACCTTTCCATTGCTGGAGGTGGAATTTCCCTGGCTGCATCTTCCCAGAGAGGGTACTCCACCTCTAAATTGCTTATCACTTGAAGAAAGCTTTGCAAATGCTGTATTTTGCTGCCCCTGTCTCAGGACTCGGAGGGTCTGTAACTCATTTGGAAGTGCTGGGGTTTGAAAAGGAGCTCTCTGTTCACAGGGCAGCCTGATAACACAGAGACAGATGAGCTTCAGGTGAGGTGAAAGGAGACACACAAGGCAAATTAAAGTCCTAGATACTAAGAATTTTAAGTTTTCTATGCTAACAAACTCTAACCCCCCAAAAAAACCCACTACATTTAACTTAAAACCATTTAAAAACCTTCAAAAATTAATTAATAACACTAAAATTACAAGTGTGTAGTTTAATTAGAAGTGTATAATATCAGAAAATAAAAAAACTTGGAGTTTATAGTTTTAGAATATAGCAATACATTTAAATCAAAATAAAAGTTTTAAAGCAAAAACTAGTCCTTCTTCATGAATTTAAGTAGTATTTTATAATTAAACAAAAAGTCTGCAATGCAGACTGAGTAATATTTAAAGCAAAAACTAGTCCTTCTTCATGAATTTAAGTCGTATTTTATAATTAAACAAAAAAGTCTGCATTGCAGACTGAGTAATAAGTTAGTAGGTTAAAAATAAAAATAATTTAAGTATCATTTATTAATCAAATAATTTAACCTGGAAAAATCTTATAACAAAAAACAGTTAACCATTTATATCTTATTAATAAAATACTACAAAACTCGCTACCTATAAAACTATAACATACATTTAAAAAATTTAAATCTAAATACAAAATATCATCACAAATACCATCAATCCCAACCTCAACAACCTGGTGCTATCTCTGCATATTGATAATCTGGGTTGTTACTGCATCACAGGGCTCTTCTCTGGCATAAATTGTGAGGTGGTTTATACATAAAAATACTGCCATCAATATAAGCATTTTCTAAGAAGGGCTTTTCACAAGAGCATGGGGGGATAGGATCTAGGATAAATATTAGGAAAAATTCTTCCTGGGAGGGTGGGAGGCATATCTTGCCCAGAGAGGCTGTGGCTGCCCCTGGATCCCTGGAAGTGTCCAAAGCCAGGCTGAACAGGGCTGGGAGCACCCTGGGATAGAGGAAGGTGCACTGCCCATGGCAGGGGGATAGAAAAAGATGACATTTTCCAACCCAGTCTGTTCTGGGATTCTGGCTTTTTTTTTTCCCTGGATATAGGCTGCTTGTGAACGCTCTGATCTCAGATGGGAACGTCTCCCTGGATGCACATTCACACCTTGTCTGTGGAAGGTGATCCCATCTCTCTGACTTCTCCCTTCCCAGCCTCTGAACTTCAGACTACCTGTGCTTAATAAAAAGGTTTTTTTCATCATTCACAGACACTTAGTGGTGTTCCTGCAGGTTCTGCTGTGTCCCTCTGTAATTCCATCCCTTTGCAAGTCTCTTCTCCACTGTGCTGGCGACGAGAAGAGCTGCACTGCAGTGAGCTTGTGCTAAAACTTTTGCAGGGATGTAGCTTAATTGGCTGACAGGTAGAGCTGGAGAGCACTGAAGGCATGGGGAGGACTTCAGCATTGGAGGCAGAGCAGGATGGCTGCCAGCAAAAAAACTCCATGTCAAAGGAGCTGTCCCCAGCTCTCCCTCTCACTGCTCCAGAGTCAGTTTTGTCTTGGAGGAAACTCCCACGTACACGGTGATTTCTGTGAGAGGCAGGGACCAGAAAGGTAGGCAGGAGTGAAAATCAATCAAGATTTGTCAAATACACGGGGGAACTCATTTTTATGAGATAAGTGCCTTCAGAGGAAGCCTTGGTAGACACCTACCACATGTTCAGCCTGCTTAGTGGCAAAGCATGCCCCATTAATCACTGTCACTCCAAGGGACCGGCTTCCCACTGAACCATCTCCCAGATTTCTCCCTCTCTCAGCCATCTTCTGCCCTCCCAGGAAGATGAGCTGCACTCACAGACCTGTGAGCCTGCAAATCAGGCTGATGCTCTTGGCAGCTGCCCTACCAACCTGCCGCATTCACATTTTCTGAAAAATCCCTACGCCCAGGATTCTTCTCCTGGGAAGCTGAGAAGACTCAGAGAAAAAACGAAAACAATATTATCTCATTTGTTTCTCATTTTATTCAAGATAATCAGCAGCGTGGGCCAAAACAGTGTCAGAGGAGCTGCTGCCTCTGAGCAGGTGAAGTCCATGTGCTGCTGTCCTGCTGCAGTGGGACCTTGCCCTTGGAAGGAGCCACGAAGGGATAAAGTGGGTGGCTTGGCCAACACCCTGTGCTCAGAAAAAACAGCAGCCAGCACCCAGGGAGGATGGTTTGATGGTTTGACTGGTCATGCTGAGAGCTGAGCACTCAGGAGATCTGAGGAAAGATGGCTTGAGAGCAGGAGCAGCCCATGGGAATCCCCCAGCAGCACTGGGACAGGAGAGCCTTCAAGGACCTGAGCTGTCTGAGGAAGGGAATAAGTGATGTGCTTCCCAGACATTGTCTCTAGCCTCCTCCACCCACCTCCTGCTCCCCAGCTTATTCTGTAGGCCATCATAAGCTGCTGTGAGGCTTTGTGGTGTCTGACACTCACCCATCCTGAAGATGAGTGAGGGAACTGCACCACAGCAGGGTGAGGGGACAGCCCTGTCCTTAGGGATATTCACAATGGACTCCTCATTTTCCATGTGTCAACCCATTTTCAGGCTGAGATTTTTTTTTTTGGTTGTACTGCAAATCTCGTTCCCACTTTTTAATAACCTGAATTAAGGGTCTCAGCTCTTATTTTCAGGGTATGGCCCCAGGCAGTCATGTTGATAACACCTGCTGGGTTAAATATTGCACCTGGGGAGTGGGGAAAACTGGTTTGTGGCAAGAGCTATGAGGAGCCCCTGGACTGCACTTTTACAAGGAGAAGGAGAAAAAGAAATGGCTTAGAAGGCATAAAAAAAAATCCTATTTTCAGGTCTTAAGCCAGTTACCATCTTTAGGGATTAGCTTCATGCAGGGAGCAAATTGCCCAAAGCCCTCCTGCCATGGTGCTCTGCTCTGCACCCCTGAGCACTGCTCTGCACTGGGGCCTGGCACAGGATATGGGGGAGACAGCATCCATGGAGGGCTGCTCCTTGCAGCAATCCCAAAACCTCCTGGCAGGCAGGGCTGCATCCCTCACTTGCTTTAACAGAACCACAGAGACAGATGGGCAGCAAGGACCATAAACCCACTTGCACCATAAACCCAGTCACAGAAGAGCTGCTGAGTCAAGAGGTGCAGCTCTTGCTGATCCAGGCTCAATTCCTCTGCACAGCCCTTCCCAGGCAGGGCTTGCTGGGGTTTGTTTCTGCTTCCTCTCTTGTTGGACTGTGCCCTTTTCTGACCCAGAGATCAGCAACTGAGAGGTGTTTTAAAAACTTTTATTCCATTTTCAGTTTCATGTGAAGGGTGAGACAATACAGATGTTACAATTCACACCATCACAATCAGAAGCTATTTCCTAATTACATTCCAAGTGTTTCTTGGCCTGTCAGCTTTAGCCACACCATGCTGTAGATGCCTTAAAGCCAACATCTAAAACTGCCCCTCGTGGCTCCCACTATAATGCATCTTTCACAACTCTATGTCTCCAAAGTATCCAGTCTTTTTACAAGACCATCCTTTGGAACTTGTTTCTGGTTCCATTTCTCTCTCCACAATGTCTGTCCTGTTCCGTGGCATTTCTGAGTCAGCATTTCTTATCTCAAAGTTTCATACTATGTGAGCCTTCTATCAGGTTTTAAGAATTTTCTACAAATCCATTTCCCACATTTCCCCCTCTCTCTTGAATGGAAAAAAATGTCTTTGTTGGCCTTGTTCATTCACGAACATTGTCACTCTAACAATCAGTGTATATAAACCCACTTTGCAAAGCTCCTTTAGCCAAGGTGTACCTCTTCATACATCCTCCACCTCTGGAGAGTTTTCTGCTACAAGCCTGGAACAGCAGCAGCCTCCTTCTCTCCAGGGGCCTGGGGATGGTACCACAATTTTGGGAATACTTTAATTTTCCGTGTAACATCACGACTGACCTCCATGTCATGGAGGTAGGGATGGAGCAGGTGCAATATTTAACCCAGCAGGTGTTATCAACATGACTGCCCAGGGCTGTACCTTGAAAATAAGAGCTGAGACCCTTAATTCAGGTTATTAAAATGTGGGAACGACATTTGCAGTACAACAATAACAACAACAATTTTAAAAATAAATAAATAAATAAATAAATAAATAAATAAATAAAACCAACACAAGGGCAGCTGCCAAGGCTGGGGGTATATGAGGCTCTTGAGACTCTGTTGCAAGTTGTAATCTGGAAAAAGGGATCCCAGCCAGACACAGAAGGCCCAAGGAGCTCTGGATCTCTTCTAGAGGAGGGAGGGATTCAGCTTCCAATCCACAGATCCCACCAATGGGAGGGAAATTTGGGTGATATCCTCTAGATCAGGAAAAGGTAAACAACAAAGATCAAGGGAAATGAGGCCAAGGAAAAACCCTGCTCCATTCCCACCTCACTTTTTCAGGATTTTTTTACAAAAGAATCTGCAGAGTCATAAGAATCCAAGGGGTTTTGGTTATAAAGGGCCCATGTTCCCATGTCAGGGATGGCACCAAATCCAGCTCTCCTGAAACTCCAGAGTGAGGGCAATCCAAAATTATATTCAACAGCTTGTGGCAGTAAAGGAAATCAAGGACCCAGAGTTCACTTTTAAGGGGCTGCTGTCATCAGATGAATAAAAACTCATGGCATGACTCCATGCAAGTCAAAAGGGCACCAATAA